ATTCTCCCAGTGCGAAGCTGCTACTCTTTTTTCAGGTGAATTCTTTCCCTTTTTTACTCCTTAAGTATGTTTTTTTCTCTCACTCAGCCATGGCTTTTGCGAATATGTTGCTACGTTGAATATAAAAGGGCTCTTGTATATGCGATCGTGTGGCACACGTTAGCATGCTGGCGTGCTGGGGCCACCTGCGGCTGACGAAAAAAAGTTAAGAACGTATAGAAACATATTCGACCGAGGTTTTAGTTACAATTTAATGTATTATTTCCAGATATCCAAATGTGCGCAGGACTAACTGAAATAGAGAGTACTTAGAAACTAAGATGAATGTAAACATAACAAAGATAGGAATAAAAATTAGAAACTGCAAAGTACTAAGTACTCGGGATGTTCAAACAATAAATGAAGATGCAAACGTCTCTGTATGTACCTTTTTTTATTGGCATACTCAATCCAGGTATCAATTTATATTAAAAGTAAACAGTAATTTACACTAAGAATGGAATATCAAATACTAATTCTAAACATGAGATGGACCTGGCTATATTTGTGGTTTATTACTCGGGAATATGGAATCCTCATTATGAAAGTAGAAACACAACAATGAAGTTCGCTCGAGTCGAAATATCTCGAAGCGCGTAGGATTGATTCGTCATTGGTCAACTCGAGCCGCCAAATTCAAATTCAATAATTGTCATCGCGTCCAGTTTCACTACTCTTTGACATTCAGTTTGGTTTTTCTACAATAAATTCTTTGATAATTATTAATTAACATGCATAAATGAAACACATGAATTCCAAATACAGCGCGCTTTCTATCTTGGCCATTAAAGATAGAAAATTTTCACTGAAGCCTCGAGAGAGACAACTGAAACATTCATTCTAAAAAATGCGTTATTTCGAGGATAAAAACGATAAAATCAAACTGCCTCTTACAGTGTTTATCCTTTCATTTTTATTTAAAAAAAACTTTAGCCTTTCATGTTATGACCCGAACTCGCGTTGTACTATAAACCTGTAGAGATAAAAGAAAATAAAGGGATGAGAGGAATAAAAAATATATAAACACAAGGGGGACATACTTCCAGTGTTGAATACGAGCCCGTAACACGACACTCAGTGTAAATAAAGTGTTCCGCAACTCGTCAATATTATCCTATCCCCTCTCCTAAGTTTTTCGCGTATTTCAGGAGAACTGGAACATGTTGATAATAGATTTTAAAGTCAGACATCAATAAAACAATATAAGATTTTTGGAAAGTTCTCAATTCATGATAATGGAACATCGGAAAGATTCCGAAAAAATGCAGCCATTTTTGCAATTTTTTCCTCGTGAAATGTTTAAATTATTGAGAAATTATGTGAGAGATTTATAATTGATGACGAGCACGGTTAATTTCTTCCAAAACCTTGGAAGCAGGTCATTTAACCAGTGTTATTATAGGAGCTACGACAAACTCTTGGAGAGGTGTGAAAATAAAAGAAAAAATGCAGCCAAAGTCATGAAAATTCATACCCATCTAGAATATCGAATTAGTCATTTCTGAGTGAAAAATCGTATAGATTGGAAACGTCTTTATGGTTTTTTTTCATGAGAAATCATGATTTCTCATTAAAAACGTATAAGGATATACGGATAGGATTTCATGCTGGTTCATTAATTCACAAACGACTATTATTTTTCATTCATTCACTTCATTACAGATTTGGAAACATTGGTTGTGCGGTGCTCAAGGGCGGATGTGACGTTTATCATCGTAATATCGACTTCACAATCGATAGAAAAACCAATTATAGAAGATATCACAGTCCGACCGATACGAGATCAGCTTCTTTAGTACATTAGGATGGGTGATAACTTGTCCCTCAATTCTCTAGCCGGAAAACAATAGATTCCCGTCGGGTTCACCTTCTATATATATTTCGTCATCCCCCGATCACCCTTAAATCCAAGATCCTAATCTTCAAAGTACGTGAAAATCAATACGACAGGTTCTCACCCGACGTTAAAAGCCATATTGACCCTCAACAAAGGATTTCGATTTTGACATAGGGAAAAATCCATCTTTGGGCACTACAAAATTTGAAAGGCTATTTTTGAATGGACCTCCGATTTATGGGGCGCGATGTTTACTTCAAGATTCACGTCCACCTGTGACCCCTTGAGATTCTTCAAAGTGGGTGGAAATGATTTTCATTTTGTGGAAAACTTTTCACCTGTCGTTTTAGAAAAGATTCTTGGATTCTTATTCTCAATCTATTGCATCATCGAACGGTCACAATATTTTTCCCCGGCTACGAATT